GAAGGGGTTAACATCTGGGGCGATCAAAGGGTTAACTGTGTGGTATATATACTGGAATGTTCTTTTTTTATATATACTGGTAATGGCGTCAATCTGCAGCTTATAGCAGGACTGTGATATTGCAGCGGACAATCTGATACTAACTGACATTAACACTTTGTGGGAACCAGTGACACTAATACAGTGATCAGTGCTGTAAATATATTATTATTATTATTATTATACAGTATTTATAAAGCGTCAATGGTTCGCTCAGCGCTGTACATTACAAAGGGGGACAGAACATGTGACAGAACAATACCAATACAATGCAAAACATGAGGGGATCGAGAGCCCTGCTCTTTCGAGCTTACAATCTAGGAGAGAGGGGATAGTGGTACAGGAGGAGATAGCTGTGGGGGATGGAGTGGTAGGAAGAGTGGAGGAGGTCGGCAGGTTAGCAGGGGGTGGGGTAGGCTTCCCTGAAGAGATGGGTTTTCAGGGTGCGCCTAAAGGAGAGGAGAGTAGGTGATAATCTGATGGGTTGGGGCAGGGAGTTCCAGAGGATGGGTGACACCCTGGAGAAGTCCTGGAGGCGGGCATGGGAGGAGGAGACCAAGGAACTAGAGAGAAGGAGGTCTTGTGAGGAGCGGAGTGTGCGTGCTGGGCGGTACTTGGATATTAGGTCGGTGATGTAGTACGGGGCAGTATGGTGGACAGCTTTGTACATCAGTGTTAGGATTTTGAATTTGATCCGTTGCGCAATCGGAAGCCAGTGGAGGGATTGGCAAAAGGGGGTGTCGGAGATGGAGCGGTTGGAAAGGTGAATGAGTCTGGCAGCCGTATTCAGGATCGACTGAAGCGGGGATAGCCAGCGACGAGGCCGGCCAGTGAGGAGGGAGTTGCAGTAGTCGAGTCGTGATATGATGAGGGAGTGGATGAGCTGTTTAGTGGTTTCTGGGGTTAGGAACGTGCGGATTTTGGCGATGTTGCACTGTCACTGCAATAATGAAACTGGCTGGGAAGGAGTTTAACATCTAGGGTGATAAACGGGTTAACTGTGTGCCTAGCTAGTGTTTTGTGTACACAGTAATGTGTTTTTACTAGGCAGTCTGCTAGATTTTATTCCCTATTTTGCAGGGAAAGAAGATCTAGCAGATCGCCGCTGACAGGACACAGCTCTGCCTTATTTACATAGGAAGAGCTGTGTCCTGTCACTCTCCTCACCAATAAACAGGTGCCAGCACTCATCCATTGGCCGGCACCTACTAGTCAGCTTCTGCTGTGACAAATCACCAGGAAGTGAAAAATGACATATATATACGTGATTTTGCACAGAATGGCAGTAAATCTACTATAGGGCGGCCATGAAGTGGTTGATATGGAAACTGCCTTTTTATTAAATAAAAAAAAAAATTGTAAAATTGTAAAAAAAAAAAAAAAGAGAAAACTGACCCAAATCCTCCCTATTGTGTCAACGTAATCTGACAGCAGATGGGAAATAGTCAGCTGAACTCCTCCACTGTCCGAATACATGGATCAATACTGTAGCCTATTGGCTTAAAGCAGGTTAAATGTAGGTCAAATACACCTGTCAATGAATTTTGAAATATCTCAGAGGCATCTCAAACTGATGTCAACTTGATGGTATCTACACATGCGTAGTGCTCATTGGCAAGGGTCTTTGTTCAGACATAGGGATAGTGACTGGTGGTCTCCTAAAATCTAGTTATTGGGTGTCATTTCCTTCCCTATACCACGGAAGATGATGGGCCTGTAGTAATCAGTAGTAATCAATAGTAATACATCATATTTGCTATGAAGTCTACTGGATTCTACAGTATATATGGTACAAAAACAACCTCCTTTCTTCCTTCTTTTCTTTTCCCTTTAACCCATTCTGTTCATCTTTCCTTTCTTTCCTTTTTTTATATTCTCTCCCTTCCAGTTATAAAGAAAAATGGGATAGCGTGCAATTGTTGACAGTACTAGGTTCTTTTGACAATTGCTGATGACTAAGGGAGGGCAGTGGTGAGGAACTGAGCAGAAGGAATGTGGTGGCCAAAGTAAGCTTGGGAACCTGGAGAGTATCTGGGATTGGTTTTCTGGCACATTTTCTTTAGTTCATCATTACAGTAATGATTACATATACAGTACATAAAAATTCTTACAGATTAAAAAGTTCTGTGATGGACTTCGTTGCACTGCGAACTTGTACACCAGTAAACAGCGTGACAGTCATGATGCAACTCCATAGGCACAGCAATGTCAAGAAGGCGCGTGTCATTTTAACCTGCAATTAAGAGATATTTTATGAATTTTTCACATATTTATATATCTTTATTTTTCATTTTAAAAAAAATAGAAAATTAGGTTGATTTAGTAAAGGCAAATAGTCTGTGCACTGCAAGAGCAGTTGCGCTAGATCTAAGGGGAAGCTCTGAAATGAGAGAAAGCTCTACTGATTTCTTTCATCCAATCACGTTCAAGCAAAAATGCTGCTTTTTTTAAAAAATGTCCTTGCATGTTCCCCTCGGGTCTAGAGCAGCTGCACTTGCAGTACACTTGCAGTGCACAGACTATTTGCCTTTAGTAAATCAAGCCCATTCTGTAAATTATAGCTTCACTTTGTCATGTATCACTGATGGATTCCATTCTTGAATTTAGTTGACCAGAGCATGCTCCTGCAGTGACATCCCACCTTCAAGATACACACATTAGTTTTACCCCAGTGACATCCCACCTTCAAGACATGCACATTAGTTTTACCCTACTGAGATCTCACCTTCAAGACACAAACATTAGTTTTACCCCAGTGACATCCCACCTTCAAGACACACACATTAGTTTTACCCTACTGAGATCTCACCTTCAAGACACACACACTAGTTTTACCCTACTGAGATCTCACCTTCAAGACACACACATTAGTTTTACCCCAGTGACATCCCACCTTGAAGACACACACATCAGTTTTACCCCAGTGACATCCCACCTTCAAGACACACACATTAGTTTTACCCTACTGAGATCTCACCTTCAAGACACACACATTAGTTTTACCCCAGTGACATCCCAGGGGACCATTAATTTTACCCCAGTGACATCCCACCTTCACACACATTAGTTTTACCCTACTGAGATCCCACCTTCAAGACACACACATTAGTTTTAACCCCAGTGAGATCCCACCTTCAAGACACACACATTAAGTTTTACCCCAGGTGACATCCCACCTTCAAGACACACACATTAGTTTTACCCTAGTGACATCCCACCTTCAAGACACACACAATAGTTTTACCCCAGTGACATCCCACCTTCAAGACACACACATTAGTTTTACCCCAGTGACATCCCACCTTCAAGACACACACATTAGTTTTACCCCAGTGACATCCCACCTTCAAGACACACATTAGTTTTTACACCTTCAAGACACACATTAGTTTTACCCCAGTGTCATCCCACCTTCAAGACACACACATTAGTTTTACCCCACTGAGATCCCACCACAAGCATACACAAAATGGTCTTTCTTCAATGAGATCCCAGCCTTAGCACACACAGACTGATATTTCCCCAGCAAGATGCCACCCCAGAACGCACATGACTTGCAGTACCCACATTGCACTGTACAAATAGCATATTTTACAACATCCAATGCACATTTGTCATTTTTCAGTGAGATCCCTTACACAGTACACACACGGATTGGTCCACCATACAAATTGCATACTGAAAATTGTCCATGTCTTTCCCTTAGCCATTGCTTACTGCACCTGCACACAAAGCCCAGAGGTTCAGCTTCATCCCCCTCTTCCCCTGCAAAACAAAATGTTCCCATTGTTTGCCAGTAGAGGGAATTTTGGTTTCTTTTGGTCCATCTCACCTAAATTCATCAAGTTATACTTTCTCATTGGTCCCCAAGCTCTGCTCTATAGAAGCTGTTTTTTTCATACATTGCACTGTTGAGGCCTGAAACAGTGTTATGCTGTTTGATTTAATGGTTCTGTTACACTCACTGACCACTTTATTAGGTCCACCTATTCAGTTGCTTGGTAACACAAAGTGCTAATCAGCCAATCGCATAGCAGCAACTCCATGCATTTAGGCATCTAGACATGGAGAAGATGACTTGCTGAAGTTCAAACTGAGAATCAGAATGGGGAAGAAAGGGGATTTAAGTGACTTTGACTTTTGTTGTTGCCAGACGGGCTGGTCTGAGTACTTTAAAAACTGATGATCTACTGGGATTTTCAGGCACAACATTCTCTATGGTTTACAGAGAATGGTTAAAAAAAGAGAAAATATCGGCAGTTGTGTGGAGGAAAATGCCTTGTTGATGTCACAGGAGAATGGGCAGACTGGTTTGAGATGATAGAAAAGCAACAGTAACTCATGTCAATATGGACCAAAATCTCTGACGAATGTTTCCAACACCTTGTTGAATCTATGCCATAAAGAATGCAGGCAGTTCTGAAGGCAAAAAGGGGGACCAACCCTGTACAAGCAAGGTGTACGTAATAAAGTGGCCGGTGAGCGTATTTTCAATTGTATCTGTGCTATAAACCAATAGTTTTGTACAAACAGTTGGCTAAAGTGTCATAAAGGAGTGATTTCGTAAAAGGATCAGTGCAAAAAGAGCCCATAGGTAGTTTGATTGGCAGAGGTGCCTAATGTGGTTGTTCAATGCATAGGCACGAGTCGTCTGCTTTAGTAAAACATACAATTGCTCTATTTTACCAAACAAAATACATTTATGCAATGCAATTTAGCTTTAAATTGCCACTCCCTCAGCTCAAGATGATACAATTGGTGTAGAGCTTGTGGCAGTGATGTCAACAAGGTGTATCACATGTAGCTCTTCTTGCATTTTATTTGGTGAAATGAAGCAATTAGATGTTTTACTAAAGTAGACGACTGCAGCCTATCCTTTGAACAACCACATTGGTCGCTTCTGCCAATCAAACTATCCACAGGCTCTTTTTGCGCTGACTCTTCCTACTTCTCATTCAGGATGGGAATGCCTGGGGCATAGAGAGTGACCACACTGACCCTGCATAGAGACAGGTTTTCTCCACTCGTGCGCAGGGGCGGACTGACAACTCATGGGGCCCCCAGGCAATAGAGGATCATGGGGCCCCTGTGTCCTTGCCCACACTCAAAAAAGCCTATAAAAAAGGTACCAGGGGCATTTCATGGGGCCCCCTACTGACCCGGGGCCCTCGGGCAGTGCCCGAGTGCTTGAATGGTCAATCTGCCCCTGCTCGTGCGTAAGGAAGGCCATGTGTTCTCCCATGGTTGTAAGTCCATTTTCAACTTTCTTCCTTTTATTCCTCCCTCTCTTTTCTTTTTCGATACAAAATCTGAGCTTTACCTGAAACCCCTGGTCAGCTCCTCAGGATCCTTTGTTTCACGATCTACCACCACACCCCAGACCTTATGAAGGAGTGATTGGCATTGCTCCACTAACTATGTTTAAATTGATAATATTTTTTAGATTTGTGGTTAAACGAGAGATGGAAATACCTTGGACATATTTTCAATTGTACATTTCAAACCAATTTTCAATTGTACATTTCAAACCAATTTTAAAACAGGAGCAATGAGAACGATTTACCAAAATATTTTAGCTTGATTCATACATTTTCCCTCGGCTGTTCTCACTACTTCAGCTCTCTGAGTGTTTGTAGTACATCCAGATCATTAGGGTTTAGCAGCCTTGAGCTTCTACTAGTTTTGTGCAGCTTGCTCCTGGGTGTAAATTAAACATGCTGGTAGTGTAAAATTCAGTGCAGGTGGTGTGGTCTCCCTGCTGCTACAACCCCTCCGTGGTTACCGGACTCTCCTGCTCTTCCTGGGATCCCAGGACCATATCAAAGGGTTTCAGAATAGTGAGCAGCGATTGCACCATACATGTGAAGTATCACCGCGAACGTGGGAGTGAGACCAATAATTCTAGGGTCATAATTCATTGTTAATTCTAGACCAGTGGTTCTCAACCTTCCTAATGTTGCGACCCTTTTATACAGTTCCTCATGTTGTGGTGACCCCCCAACCATAAAATTATTTACCCAGTAATTATAATTCATGAGTGTTGTTTTACCTCCAATACTGCTGCTTTCAACACAGTAGCTGCTTTCTACACAGTGGCTGCTTTTTACACAGTAGCTGCTTTCTACACAGCAGCTGCTCTTTACACATCAGAAATATGTGTTTTCCGATGGTCTTAGGTGACCCCTGTGAAAGGGTCGTTCGACCCCCAAAGGGGTCACAACCCACAGGTTGAGAACCACTGTTCTAGACTGATGAGTGGTAAAGGTCTTTAATGTGTCACCTATTGAGATTTTTGGATAACACAGATTTTTGCAATATCACTAGCACACAGTTTTAAGACTTGACATGTTTAGTTGGGACCTCCCTAGTTTCAGGGTACAGGTGCAGAGACATTTGTGGCGTTATACTAAATTTTTATCTCCTATTGTTTGCTGTTATTACCAGTCTTAGCCTTTGTGTGTCAAAGAGTTCGGTGTTGCCCAGGGAAAAGGGGAACCCAGTAATTACCATCCTTAGGGGATAAGTGCTACATACAATTGGTCAAAGAGGCATAAAAAATATTCCCCTTATTTATGGCATTTGTAATAGAATCAGACGTGTACATACCTACTGTTTTAGGGTATGTACACAGGAATTGTCAAATGCAAGTCAATAAATTCATATTGATTCCAATGGAGCAGACATTTCAGTTCAGAGGCTGAGTTTGATGTGCTGTGTTTCTTTAGATGCAGCATATTTTATTAGGGTGCATTTGCAGGCCAATCAGGTCAAATGTAACTTTTTTGGCAAATGCTACAATTTGTTTGGTTGCTTCTTATGTCTTTTAGCATTAATATGTCTCTGTGTTTTTCACAAGTTTAACAAAGGGCTTTTCATTCTTTTTGATCAACCTCATGATAGTCTATGGATTTTTACCATTTTCATTACTCTGTAGAAGCCATTGTTTCCTTGTTGATGACAGCTAACAACACTTTGCATGGCTTTATCTTCAGATCTTTTGTTTAGAATTTTTGACAGAATGATACTTATTAATATAGTCCTTTTTAAGAAAGCTTTGAGGCTTCTCAGAAATTTCAGTAAGTACTGTGTTGGAAAAGGAGGGTAGAATGGTTTGTATGTGAGTGTCTATAGTGAGGTATTGTGTAGAGTTGTCAGTGTATTGTTCCTGCCCTGGGCTGGCTACATATAGAAATGTAACTTTGCTGTAGCCAGCTTAGCTGCAATTTATCTTTAAAGTCTGCTCAGGTGTTTCTATAAACTTGGCTGATTGCGCCTGTCTGCTGCTGGAAAAACATTCCAGTAAATAGAGTGGGAAGGTCAATCACTGGGGTTAGGAATTTTTATTGGACCTTAGCCAATCCTTAGGAGCCTGACCTAGAAGGTGTGGTTGGGGAGAAGAAAAATATTTGTGAGGTTATGATCAGGCTCTTTTTTTCTTGTGGCTTACCCCCCTGAGAGGAAGCATGTGTGTTCTTAGGAGGCAACTACCCAACTACCTGGTCTCACCAGATGCCTTGTATTAGAGCCTGAGGAAACTTACCTGTGGAAGCTGGCCCTTGGGAAGTGGGACCTTATGGGGTTTATTTACTAAAGCTGGAGAGTCCAAAATCAGACTCCCTTCTGCATAGAAACCAATCAGCTTCTAACCTCAGCTTGTTCAATGAAGCTTTGGCAATGAAACCTGGAAGCTGATTGGTTTCTATGCAGAAGTGAGTCTGATTTTGGACTCTCCAGCTTTAGTAAATAAACCCCTATATGTCTAGCTCAAGGTATGGAATATATGTCTAGCTCAAGGAATAGAAGTACTCCTTGGGGGTGAACCTTCACCCTTCAAAGGTCCCCACTACATATGGGGGCTTGTCTGGGATATGAAATGGGTCCCCCTTATCTGCTCAAAGGCTGCCTGACCTTTTTTCAGTCTCAGTAGCAAACCAAAAAATATCAGGCTCCAGTTTAAGTAATCTGTCCACTTTATTCCATAACTGGGGATCGGACAAGCGTTCAGATCTCAGAAGGTTCACCGAACTACACTGACGTTCTGCACTCTAATGTGAATCCCACGTAAATGGAAACTAAAAATTTAAAACCAGTTCTCTCCATTTTCAAAGTTAATAGACAATGGATTGTCAAACAAAGGGCATGGGGACTAGGCAATTCACTAAAGTACTTCCAAAAGTAATTTTCGATTTTTAAATCTTCTGATTTGAATTGAATAATATCTGGTTCTCCTGCCATTATGGTCCTTATTCGGGCACCTGTTATATTGTGACAATTGTTGTCTCTGTATCCCAGTTCTACTCTCCTAACTGTGCTCCTGAGTGGTCACACAGGTTTCCAGTGGAGATTATGAGGGGTTGTTTCAAGTCATATTATGCAGGCATGATCCACCATTTTTATCATCAGGAAACCCACCCTGAGAAATGCCCTTCTGCCTTCGCATGTAGATATGAAGTGGCTGCAGGAGGTCAACATCACTAAGATGTAACAAAGGATGAAAAAAGGTCAAAACAGTATTTTTTTGTAAAAAAAAGGTCATTGTTCATACTGTACATCAATTAGGGTTTACATCTACTTTATATTGATCTTACTGTGCATTTTATGTACATTTTAATAATAAATAACAGAAAACATGCAACAAGTTAAAATGGAACATGTAACCAATATGTGTTAAGTTTTTTTTTTTTATTCAACCCCCATCCCCATTCATTAAAGCTTTAGCTTTACTATTTAATTAAAAGTACTCCTTACCATGGGCGGACGGACAACTCATGGGGCCCCTGGGCAATAGGGGATCATGGGGCCCCTGTGTCCTTGCCCAAACTAAAAAAGAAGACTATGAAAAAGGTACCAGGGGCATTTCATGGGGCCCCCTACTGACCCCGGGCCCTTGGGCAGTGCCTGAGCTTCCTAATGGTCAGTCCGCCCCTGCTCCTTACACATGTGACTTAGGTCAGTGCGAATGGTAGTGGCAAGACTTTTCTGATTCCTACTGTGGCTCTGAGTAGCTAGGTGTGGCCACCAACCCTGTTCACTGTAATGATAGGTCACTGGGCACCACATCTATTTGTGGCTCTCTGCACACCGAGTGATGACCTACAGTGATTGCCACTGTTTGTGCAGACAGCTACAAATAGATGCGTTCAGCGGTGATCTGTCATTATAGTGAATAGGGCCGGCCACACCGAGGCACTAATAAAAAAAAAATCGCAGCAAGTTGCAGAAACTACACCTGATACAGCCAACACAAAATATTGAACCATCACCAGTCTATGCATTCTACAATAAAGCCGCATACCAGATGAGTAAGGGAACAGCACAAGAAAAAATACCTGGAAAATATTTATCCTCTAAAGATCGTAGATTCCTTTTTTCTTCTGGCTGAACATTGCTTGCAGCTACCTGCTATTTATATGAGTTGCTGGAGTTATTTCCAGTGGCAGTTGGGTGGGATAGTTACACCCTTTTTCTTCAGAACGTAACAATACATTTTTGTTTACATTGGCATTTAGTCATAAGTGCTTTTCATATTTTGGGTTTCTGCTGAAATGTCATTTGGAATTGGTTTAGACCAGGGGCGGACTGACAACTCATGGGGCCCCCGGGCAAAAGGGGATCATGGGGTCCCTGTTTCCTTGCCCACACTCAAAGCACACCCAAAAAAGCCTATAAAAAAGGTACCAGGGGCCTTTCATGGGGCCCCCTACTGACCCTTGACCCTCAGGCAGTGCCCAAGTGCTCGAATGGTCAGTCCACCCCTGGTTTAGACTGTCATACAGGAGCCATTAGCTATACTTTATTCAAGCAATGGCAGTTAATGGAGCAGAGCCATAAATTCAGGAAAAGTCAGGAACCAGTTACACAGTGAAACCAAATCAGAGAAGCACACAGAAGTGGTATTTTTATCTTATAAAGGTGATAGCAGATATACTGAAAGTCAGGACTTAAAATGTTAAATTAGTTTAAAAGATATACATTGTTTGTCTAATTAGCTGGGTGATGTATAAGCAAATACTGCAATATATGACTGTCAGCAGCTATTTTGATTAGCCTATGATCTGAGAATATGTATGAACAATGTAAGGCTGGCTATACACTATATAATATTCTTACAATTTTCTGTCCAATTTCCTTTACATCTATCGTCAACTATGTAGTGCAAGGGCCTGCCTAATTGGATACAATTGAAACTGTTGTTTAGGTTTGACCTCTTATTATATGGTTTTTGGTAAATCTAAAGCAAAATTCTCAAAAATCTAAAGCACAATTCTCAGCCTAAGGCTGGCCATACATAAATACAATTTTCTTGAGAATTTTAGTTTAGATTTACCAAAAACAATATAATATGAGGTCAAACCTAAACACTTTCAATTGTATCCAATTAGGCCAGCCCTTGCACTACATAGTTGACAGTAAATCTAAAGAAAATTGGGCAGAAATTGGACATAAAATTATAACTAACTATTCCGCTCCCTGACCCCAACAATGAGCCACCATTCCTTTTGCTGACACCAACACAGAGGCAATATTAAGCCAACTGATTCTAACAATGGGATGCTATTTCTTCCACTGATACCAGCAAAAAGGCACTATTCCTACCACTAATACCAGTGATGGGGCATTAGGCTGGCCATACATTATACAGTTTTCTTGAGATTTTTGGTTTAGTTTTACCCAAAACCATATAATATGAGGTCAAACCTAAACAACACTTTCAATTGTATCCAGTTAGGCAGGCTCTTGCACTACATAGTTGAAGGTAAATCTAAAGGAAGTTGAGCAAAAATTGGGCAGAAATTGGACAGAAAATTGTATAGTGTATGGCTAGCCTAATTCCTCATCCTACTGACCAAAGGTATGGAACACTATTACTCCCATTGATACTATCAATGGGACACCATTCCACCTACTGACACCAACAAAAGGGCATTATTCTTCTTACTGATACCAACAATGGGGCAGCCCACTGTTACCAACAAAGACACTATTCCACCCATGAATACTATTGATAGGGCACTATTCCCTTTCCTCCTGACTGCAAATGCTGCATATTTGTTTACTCCCACACTATTGGCCACCCAGCCTGAGACATTATCTATTCTGGGGCATTTTCTACATTGACTGATCACCGCACAGCCCCCCTAATGTCTGAATGGCAGTCATTTGGTACTTTATTTAGAACATTTGGAGACCCCTGCTATAAAGGATGAAGCTTGGATAAGTTAAATGCAGGGGCGGACTGACCATTTGGAAACTCGGGCACTGCCCGAGGGCCCAGGGTCAGTAGGGAGCCCCATGAGATGCCCCTGGTACCTTTTTCATAGGCTTTTTTGAGTTTGGGCAAGGACACAGGGGCCCCATGATCCCCTATTGCCCGGGGGCCCCATGAGTTGTCAGTCCGCCCCTGGTTTAATGGCATGTTTTGCTCAACAGGAAGAGGTGTTTGTTAACTTTATATGATGCAAATAATTTATTTATGTTTTGAGGCAATACGTCTCCCTAGTCTCTCTATAATATAAGCTTGGGTTTTGTTTTTTTTTTCTTTTTCTGCTTTTTCTGCAGATGGACTTGAGACTTTGGTCTTAAACATATAATTCACTTGGTTGGAAGACCTATAAAAGTCTTACAACAACTATTATACATGCAATCCTTTATTTATTTATCTTTTTATGTTAGTCTCATGTGAAATGGCTTTATACTTCTGGGACTACAGATGAAATATATGTGTATATATATATATATATACTGTATATATATACATAAATACACAGACATGAGGGGCACTCAAGTTAAATTGGGATTTTTAATTTTACAGGTATAAAAAGGAATGCTAGCATGGAGTTACTACATGCAGTAGTAAGTGGCAAGTGTGTCCTATTTACCAATAGGCGGCGCATATGTCGTGGGTCAGTCCAGAGACCGTTAATCAAAATGGCAGACAACGGTGTTAGTGCATGCATGGAACAGCGTGAGGTGGTGAAGTTTCTTGTGAACGATGGTATAAAACTTGTGGATATCCACAGAAGACTTCATGCACAGTAAAGTGATGGGATGCTCAGCTGCAGTAAGATATTTGAATGGTGTAAACATTTCATAGATGGCGGTATGTCCAACAGTGAGGATCCCGGCCATTGGGGTTCTCAGCCCCCGGCAGTCATTCCTGTGAACATTCAGCATGTGGAACGCCTGATCCTGGATAATTGATGCATGACCTGTCTAGAAATTGCACAGGAGTCAAATTGTTCAGTGGGAATAGTGAACACAATGATGAGGAAGTGAAGCCGGCTGTCCTAGGATGGTTCAGGCGTACTGACAAATCTTTCTATGCCGAAGCTTTCCAGGCATTAGTTAAGCACTGAGATAAGTGTATAAATGTAGCATGGGAGTATGCAAAAAATGAATGCAGTTTCCACTCCTTGAAATTTGTTATTTTATTATATAAACTCAAAAGTGCAGGTTTGACT